GGGATGATGAAGGCTTTCATTCTCGCTACCCCAAACACTCCAATCCTTTGCTAACCCTTTGAGCCGGTTACCCTTCTTTGACTACCCTCTTTGGAACCTGAAAGCGTTTGTAAAAAAAATCAAAATCAAAAATAAAGTATCCCGTAACTATGCTAGACTTGATTCCTAAAGGATACGTAGGCAGCCTCTCTCTGGGGTTCAGTCACACCAAAACAAAAATCCAAATTTCCCCAAAAGTGAAACTGGGGCTGATGTTATAATAGTTCGGCGATGATCCCGCCTGAATGGTTCCAAAGTTGAAATTCGATCCAAATTCTTTTTACCCCAAGACCTATTCAAGTGATTCCTATCAATCGGTGAGAGTGTTCAAGGATTGGAGAACACAGCTACTTGGATCTGATGCAATCGAAATGAGAGAAATAAAATGAGAGAGTCTTGTTGGTAAAAACCCATACGGGCACCGTAAGGTGATAGTGAGCAGAGAAATAAAATGAGAGAGTATTGTTAGTAAATAATTGCAAATATCACTATAAGGCGACGGTAAGAAGAGAAATTAGAAAGGTCAATTGGCAAAAACCCGTAAAGGGCGCCATTAACCGAAAAGAAGGAGTTCCCTACAACCATCGGCACTAATAAAGTACTGGCAAGGTTTCTCAGTTTTAAGACATGGGCTATGTTGGGTTTATGAGATATTAGATGGTTATGTAGATCAGGTATCTAGTCCAAGAAGCATGTCATGTCTATTGAAGTCTGCATGAACTCCAGATAAGTCTTTCTTTCTTCCCCCCGAAAGGGACACTTTTGTTAAATTCATTATCATGTCTTTTGTTTACTATTCTTTGAGTCCCTTTCGGTCTAATCCTTCTCCGAAACTAATACCAAAGAAAAGATGGCAAGTCAGTTCTACAGGGTTCTGCTTAACAAAAGCCGAATTCAAGGAAAAGCACCCAGCCTCAGCAGATGCATCAAGTTGATCTCGACTGGAAATGATGGTCGATGCTCCAAAGTCAAAATTATTGAAAAGGAAACAAATCCAAAGTCAAGTGCCCATAAAGGTAGAATAAGGTGAAAAGGCCAAATCCCCACACGAGCTAACCATCATGTGAAATTTTGGAAGAGAGATTGGTTTCCACAAAGTCAACGAGCAACAGAAATTTTCATAGAAAGAATTGGGCCGAGATCAAGTGATCAAAACAATCAAGGCCACAAAACCAATAACTGTTTCAAACTAACCATTGTTCTTTGTTGAAAAACATGAAACAGGTGCAATCCAAAGCAACCTTGCAAGAAGCAGGGGCAACCAAAAAGAAACTGCTCAAGGGCTAGAAGCAGCTTTGCAGCAACAATCCATAAAGGGAAGTCCCCTCCAAAATTCATTCCCACATTTAATCATGAAATAAAAAAAAAGAACAGAATAAGAAGAAAAATTCAAAAACATGGTAGTCTAGGGTCCCCAATCTCTAGTTACGTTTTTTCCAACATAGGGTTTCCACTCCCTAGTTGATTTTATTTTAGACATAGGGTCTCCCCTCCCTAGTCGGTTTTCCAACATAGGGTCTCCACTCCCTAGTTGAAGTTATTTTAGACATAGGGTCTCTACTCCCTAGTCGCTTTTCCAACATAGGGTCTCTACTACTTAATTGATTTTATTTTTAGGCATAGAGTCTCCACTCCCTAGTAGCTTTTCCAACATAGAGTCTCCACTCCCTAGTTGATTTTATTTTTAGGCATAGAATCTCCACTCCCTAGTCTGCTTTTCCAACATAGGGTCTTCACTCCCTAGTTGAGTTTATTTTAGGCATAGGGTTTCCACTCCCTAGTCTGCTTTTCCAACATAGGGTTTCCACTCCCTAGTTGAAGTTATTTTAGACATAGGGTCTCCACTCCCTAGTCGGTTTTCCAGCATATGGTCTTCACTCCCTAGTTGAAGTTATTTTAGACATAGGATCTCCACTCCCTAGTCGCTTTTCGAACATAGGGTCTCCACTCCCTAGTTGATTTTATTTTAGACATAGGGTCTCCACTCCCTAATCGTTTTTCCAACATAGGATCTCCACTCCCTAGTTGATTTTATTTTAGGTACAAGGTCTCCACTCCCTAGTTGATTTTATTTTAGGTACAAGGTCTCCACTCCCTAGTCTGCTTTTCTAACATAGGGTTTCCACTCCCTAGTTGAAGTTATTTTAGACATAGGGTCTCCACTCCCTAGTTTAGTTTATTTTAGACATTGGGTCTCCACTCCCTAGTCGTTTTTCCATCATAGGGTCTCCACTCCCTAGTTGATTTCATTAGAGAAATAGGGCTCCGCTCCCTAATCTCTTTTTCCAAGGATACACAATCCTTATTTTATTGTTTTCAAATAAAAAGTAGTTTAGATTTATGTTACAATAACTCACAAAATTTTCCTAGTGAAAATTGGGGCAGAAAATTTTGTTCGTTTGTTTGCTTTGGTGTCTGAACAAGTTTTTGTCGTGAGGCACATGGTTTAAGATGACCAAAAGAAGAAGTCTCAACCCGAATAAAAGAAAAGAAGTTGAACTCAAAGTGTAGAAGAAGAGAAAAGATGCGGACTGCTCAAGATATGATTGAAGTTACAAGTTTTGCATGTCCCGCCTTGATCCAAAAGCTGAAGAAGAATGAACCAGTGGTTGCAGCTAACGAGCATCAAGATTCATATCAGAGTCTACAGGAAGAACCATCCAAGACTCAAGATCAAACTTTATAAGGTTTATAGATAGGAATCTTGTAACTCGTAGTTGATAGGCTTAGCTAGTTTAGCTTTTTATTTTTCATTTCGGTGTAACAAGGAGTTCAACAAGTAGAAACAGCAGCAACAGCAGTGAAATCACAGTTTTCCAGTAGTCCCAGCTACCAAAACTTCCAGAACTACACTGACCTAATTCCTTTATAACCAAGGATATATAGGCAACCTCCGAAGCAATGTTTGGTCAAGCTTTTTCAAAAGATGATTCTCATGGAGTTTTGAACGGGCAAAAATCCCTCGTAATTGCTCATTTTATGTTTGCCCGAAAATCCTTCGTGTTTCTGAGCAAAGAGGGGCAGTTGTCAGCATGCGATTTTTGCCCTATATGAATTACTCCTACAGAATCCAAGAAAATAGATTTTTCTTAATTATTTGCCATTTTTAGGAATTTTTTGTAAAATTTTATTAATTATTTGCATTTCTGTGCAGGTTTAATTTTTATTTAAATCATGAAAAATACCAAACTATCATGCATTGTATTTAGGTTTTATTCTTACATTTTTTTAGCGTTAATCAATAATTATTTGTTTTATAAAATGAAAATCACAAAAAATACTTCATTTTTATACTTTTTCCTTTTACCTTTAGGTTATTGATTTTTCTCTTTTAATTTAGGATTAAGTATTTTTTATAATTTTGGAAATTAGGTAATTAGATTAATTTCACATTTTGTAGATAATTTAGGATTTCAATTTTAGGATTTTTAATTAAAAGAAAAAGAAAAGAAATTGGAAATAAAAGAAGAGGAATAAAAGAGGATTGGATTTATTTTTTTTTACTTTGGAATTGGACTGATTTTAATACCTAAACTAGCCCAAATTGCCCCAAAACCCGTCTAAATCTTACCCAAGCCCAAACCTTTTTTACCCGGTCCAATTCCCCCAGCTAATTCAAACGACATCGTTTGGTAACTTCCAATCTCAGTCGTTGATCTTTTTTGATCGGACGGTTGGGAACTAACCCTTCCCCTCCCTTATAGATGTTCGAACACACCCACTAAACCCTTAAGATCCCTTCATTTCCCACTCGTCTCTCTAAAAAATTCAAACGCTAGTCGCCTAGGATTCCCTCGCCATCTCCGCCCACCGGAAATCGCCCACGGCGGCGCCGGTACTCCAAACACCACCATTTTCACACCACAGAACCCTAATCCCCTCCTTTTTATGAATCTCCTAACCAATTTCCCCAAATCCGTGTTAGACCCTTCGAATCTTGGATCAAAATTCGAAACTCCAAAACCCTAGTTTACCCAAATCACTCAATATTCACACCTTATGACCCTTGCACCCCCTGAACCCTAAACCACCATTAACCCCCTTTGAATCAGCCTCGATTCATTCAAATTTGTAATCTAAGGTTCTGAGTAAAAAACCCTAATTCCTCTTTATTCCTTCTCAGTCAGTGCATGGAGTTTATGAATCTAGACGACCATTAGTTGGTTGTTCTTATTAAGAACAGCCAATTAATGGGTGTGTCGTACAAGAAGTTTTATCAACTGACCCGTTTTGCCTGAGCCATTTGTTTCCCATTTTAGTATAGGTATAATTTTCTTTCGTCTTCTTCTTTTCTTTTTCTTTTCTGTTTCTTTATCTTCTTCTCTGTTCTCCACTTTTTATGTTTGCTGTTTTTCTGTGACAAATTAAAATAATTCAAGAGGCCACAATTTTGGATCACTAAGGTTTTTTTTTGTTTGGCTTAATTCATGTTTAACCAGTCTAAATTCATTAGTGCATTTTGAGTTTCGTTTATCTTTGTTTATCTTATTATTGGTCAGTAATCAATCCAGTTCTAAAATATATATAATAAATAGTGTAGCTCAAGGCATCTTGGTTTCTTCTAAGTTGTTGATGTGTTTTAATTGTTGCTTCAATGTCCGCCTAAGTAGCCTAGTTTAGTTTATCTCTTAATTACCAGGACGGTGAGTTTGAAAAGCAATTTCAGTTCATTTTAAAGGTTTTAGGATTATTACTTTTCATGTTTTCAGATGTTCAAACTTTGCTTTTTGATCTGTTTGTATTCACTTGTTTTGATTGTTTTTGTTTGCCACATTTTCAATTTCTAAGGATTTGTAGGGGCTAATTGTAAGTAAAGAAACATAGGGAGGTCATAAAGGGGTAGATAGTTTTGAAATCAGATAATTTCAGGCTGGAATGTTCTAGAATAGAGGGGCAGCTGGCTTCATTTGGTTAGTACAAAGTACTGAAACCAATGGGGGGAAAATCAGCTGTCCATTTCTATTGGAATATGCTCTTTGTGGCTGAGGGAATAATTCCTTCAGTACATGGCATCTTTGGTACTTATATATAGTACCATTTCTATACAGAAAATCAGATTTGGATAACCTAAAAGAAAGACCTCAAAGTTCTATGCATTCTCTCATTCTAAGTTTACTCGAAAAGCATACTAGTTTTTTTTTTTTTTACAAAAGGGTTCTATTTCATGGGAATTTCTAGGTTCTAAGTTGAAGTAGAGTTGGTCATTGAAGCTGTGATTTTAGTTGTTGCTTTGGTTGCTGTTTTCCTGGTCGATTTTCATATTGTTTTGACCTCAGGATTTTGCTTTCCTTGTTGCTGTATCAGGTACTTCACCAAACCATGAAATACAAAGTTGAAGTTATAATATGCTTGGCTAGATATTGAAGCTGCAGATCTATGCTTCTTCTTTTCTTTAAAACACTTTCTTGCTTCTTTTCTTTATTTCTTTTTTTTGTTTTTATTCCTTCCCTTCGTCTGTTTAAGTCCTCATTTCATTATGTAAAATCGATATCTATTTTTATCCAATTTTATCTTAGCTTTTGAGCTGAAAATTAGAATTGGAATTTCATGTGTACATAAGAGACTGGACTATTATTTGAAGGACTTTATATGTAGGACTGTTTTAGACTCCTTTTAAATAAACATATTCATGTAAGTCATGAGGAGTGCTAGTATTATAGCTGGATTTCTTCTTTGCTAGTGTGGCTGTGATGTGTAAGTTATTTGGAAGCTTTAAATTTTTGATTTAGAATAGATGTTTCAATTGAAAGGTCTGTTATACATCTTGTAAATAAGAGTTAGTCCTCTTGTAAAAAATACAATCATTTAGCCCTTAATCACTACTGATTCCATGCATTTTTAAAAGTTGATGTTCATCCGTGTTTTAAAATGGTGTAGATTGTAATTTGCTCTTGTTATTATTAGATACATGTTAATTAGTTAGGGCCTATCATATTATGTGTTCTGTTTTAAAATCTATGCAAATATTGGCATAAAGGTTTTGTTGTGATTGCAGTAGTTGTTTTTAGTATTTAAAGACTTGATCATTGAAAAATTGGGCCTACTGATGGCCCAAGTCGTGATTCCTAGCCAAATCGGACCCATGTTATTCAATTTCCCTTTGGTCCTGCACATGGCCCGATTTTGGAGCCCAATTGGTGACATCTCCACTTCCCTTTCTTTCGCATGCTCAATAATACATCGGGCCTAATACTGGCCCAGATTCTTTCAAATAAATAAAGACCTGCCTCATATTTCCCTACCTATAATTATTAGTTTGACATTAAGTCCAAAATAGTTGTGAGTAAGAACTCCTTTTATTACCTTAATTAAACAAGCCTTCTAAAATTGAGGTATGCCATATTTCACCAAATAACCTATGGCCCTCATATAAATATTAATTTAGTATTAGAATAACCCTAAATAATCGTAGTTTGCTTTAGGCCTGATTTATATTAGTATTGCGATTATATATACGTTCGTGTAACATAATTGTTAATTTAATTCTAAAAGTAACCCGAGGGATGCGTTCACGCAACTTCAACCAAACTTTTCTTAATAAAATAAATAAAGCGTTATTAATTGTGGATACGTCGCGTGACATGATTTTGACCCGCCAAAGGAAAAGAGTATACGTACGTGTAACTCAATTCTTTAATTACGAATAAATCAAGTGACTAAAAGCGGTAAAAGGTATATGCACATAGGTCCTAAAATAAGTAATAGACAACTTAAGCCAAGTATAAATCACTAAGCGACCGTGCTAGAACCACGGAACCCGGGAATGCCTAACACCTTCTCCCGGGTTAACAGAATTTCTTATCTAGAATTTTTGGTTCGCAGACTTTTAAAACAAACTCGAAACTTCCTCTATCTGGGATTTAAAATAAACCGGTGACTTTGGACGCCAAATAAACTATTCCAAGTGGCGACTCTGATAATTTAAATAATCCCATTTCGAATAATGTCACTTAATTTGGAAAAAACTCTCATATACCCTCGTGTGGTAAAAAAGAGGTGTGACACCCACGTCATTCTTTCTTTCATAAATCAAGTAATTTCCCATGATCAATCCTAGTAGAGCTCCTAGTCCGGAAAGACTAGCAAAGATGCTATCAGGCCTAGTTACCATAAGAATGGAAGGGAAAGCGAATGACATAGACCATTTCACAAGATCTTTAAGAAGAGTGAATTAATTAGTCGTGGATGGCTGAACTGTAGGGATTTCTATTGTTGAGCCAAGTGAGCTAGTTGTATGCAAAATTTTCAAAGTGTGACTTATGGCTTGATTCGGTGGCATTTTTGGGTTATGTAGTGTCGAGTGAGGGGATCAAGGTAGATCCAAATAAGATTGAAGCAGTACAGAGTTGGCCTAGATCAGATTGACCTAGAAGGGTGCTCTGTTCAGGTGGACCGACGAGTGTAAGGAAAGTTTTCAAAAGTGCTAGACAGTTTTGACTACAACCTCAGTGTTGGTATTTCCTACGGGTTCGGGGGCTTATACTATATACTGTGAGGTATCGCGTGTTGGCCTCGGCGTGGTATTGATATAGGACGGTAGGGTGATAGCCTACGCATCTAGGCAGTTGAAGGTGCATGAGAAGAACTATCTTGTCTATGACCTCGAGTTAGCAGCTATTGTTCATGCCTTGAAGATTTGGCAGCACTATTGTACGATGTCCCTTGTGAGGTCTATACTGACAACCGGAGTCTACAGCATTTGTTCAAATAGAAGGATCTTATCTTGCATCAACATAGGTGGTTATAGTTGCTTAAGGATTATGATATCACCATTCTATATCATTCCGAGAAGGCCAACATCGTGGCCAATTCCATGAGTTACAAGGAAAAGAGCTTTGGCAGTTTAGCATATGTACTGGCAATGCAGAGGCCATTAGCCTTGGATGTTAGGACTTGGACAACCAGTTTGTTAGATTGTATGTTTCAGAGCTGAGTCAAGTTTTGGCATGTGTGGTTTCACGGTCTTCTCTTTATGATCTTATCAGAGAACATTAGTATGACAACTTCCATTTGCTTGTCCTCAAAGACACGGTTCAGCACGACGATGCCAATGAGGTCGCTATTGGGAAGGATGGTGTATTATAGAAGCAAGAAAGCTATGTGTGTCCAATGTAGATGGTTTGCAGGAGTTGATTCTCCAGGAGGCTCACAGTTTGCAGTATTCTATTCATCCAGGTGCCGCAAAGATGTATCAAGACTTGAGACAGCACTATTGGTGGAGGAGGATGAAGAAAGATATAGTGGAGTATGTGGCTCGGTGCCTAAATTGTCAGTAGGTAAAGTATGAGCATTAACGGCCAAGTGGACTACTTCAAAGGTTAGAGATTCTATAGTGGAAATGGGAGCGGGTTACTATGGATTTTTTTGTTGGGCTTCCATGGACTCAGAGGAAGTTCGAGGCAGTATGGGTGATTGTAGAGAGGTTGACCAAGTTGGCTCATTTCATTCCAGTGGTGACCACTTATTACTCAGAGGAGTTGGGTAAGGTTTATATTTGCGAGATTGTCAGACTTCATGGCGCTAGTACTTGTCATCTTTGACCAGGGTACACAGTTTACATCACGGTTCTGTAGGGACGTACAACATAAATTAGGCACACGGTTTGAGTTGAGTACAACATTCACCCTCAGACGGATGGACAGTCCAAGCATACTATTCAGATACTGGAGGATATGCTCTGCGCGTGTGTGATGGAGTCTTGGGGTTCTTGGGATCAGTTATTGCTTCTTGTGGAGTTTGCCTACAAAACAGCTACCAGTCGAGCATTCAGATGGTTTTGTATGAGTCTTTGTATGGGAGGTGGTGCCGGTGTCTAGTGGGTTGGTTTGAGCCGGGTGAGGCTAGGCTACGGGGTACAGACTTGGTTCAGGATGCTTTGGAAAAGGTTATATTTATTCAAGATCGACTTCGTACAGCTCAATCCAGATAGAAGAGTTATGCGGATTGGAAGGGTCGCGATGTTACATTCATGGTTGGGCAGGTCTTGCTCCGGGTTTCGCCAATAAAGGGTGTTATGAGGTTTGGGAAGAAGGGAAATTTGATACCTAGGTATATCGTACCATTTGAGATACATGAGAGGATTGAAGAGGTGGCCTATAGGCTTGCACTATCACCTAGTCTAACTGCAGTTCATCCAGTATTTCATATTTCTATGCTTCGGAAGAATCACAGTGATCCGTCTCACGTGTAAGATTTCATCTCAGTCCAGTTGGACAAGGATTTTGTCTTATGTTGAGCCGGTGGCCATTTTGGACAGGCAGGTTCGGAAGTTGAGGTCGAAGAACATTGCGTCAGCCAAGGTTTAGTGGAGGGGTCAGCCAGTCGAGGAGGAGACTTGGGAGATCGAGCATGATATACTTAGCCGTTATCCTCATCTTTTCACCACTTCAGGTATGTCTCTACACTCGTTTGAGGACGAACATTTTCTTTAAGAGAGGTAGGAGGTAATTAACCGGTCGGTTATTTTGAGTAATTTAGTCTTGATCCCCTATTTATTGCCTTTTCTGTGATATATTGTGGTTATGTAACTTGCCGGGATGTTTGGGTTTTGTTCCGGGTGAGTTTCATAGTGAAATGGGACACATAATCCCAAAGTTGGGAGGTTTAAGTTGAAAGAGTTAACCGTAGTTTGAATTTTGTCTAGACGACCTCAGAATGGAGTTTTGACGGATACAAGAGCTCTGTATGGTGATTTTAGACTTAGGAGCATGTCTGGATGTTGACTTGGTCATTTCGGCATGAATTGGCGAACGTTGAAAAAAAAAGATTTTGGAAAGTTTGACTGAGAGTAGACATTAATGATATCGGGGTCAAATACCGGTTTTGGAAGTTAGAATAGGTCAGCGATGTCATTTATAACTTGTGTGAAAATGTTGGAGTCAATCGGAGTTGTTTTGGTATGAATCCGCATTTGTTTCGGAATTCAAAAGTTCATAGTTGCATAGGCTTGATTTTGGGTTGCGATTAGTAGAATCGATGTTGTTTGACGTGATTTTTTTCCTCGAACAGGTCCGTTATATGTTTTGGAACTTGTTGGTATATTCAGACGGGGTCCTCGGCCCCCGGGTCTGGTTCGGATCGAATTCAGACCAATTTTGGACTTAGCTTCATTGCAGAAGTCCCAAGCCTGCTGGTGTTATCGCACATGCAGAGGGATTGACTGTAGGTGCAGAATTGTGGGTGCGGAAGGTGCAGCGCAGGAGGGAAAAGGAGAGCCGGGGCTGGGCTCGCAGGTTCGGACACATGGGTGCATATGCGCCTACGTAGGCGCGGACCAGCTTGCGTAGAAGAAGAATTGGAGGAGGAGGCTTTGGGCAGGACCGCAGGTGCGGTCTCCTTCTCTGTAGAAGCGGGATCGCAGGTGCGAGCCATGGTCCTTAGAAGCGGTACTCCTAGACTTAAGTGGAATCTGCACCTGTGATGGTTTTTCCGCATGTGCGACCCCAGGCCCGCAAAAGCGAGGATCACTGAGCAGAAAGGTCTTGTTCGAGGGTAAATCTTCATAGTCCATTTTTGGACATAGAGAGCTCGGTGGGAGGCAATATTTTGAGGGTTTTTATAGAGAACTTTGGAATAAGGAATCCTAACTCGGTTTTGGTTAATTTACATGAATCTGTTGATAATTTCATCATTTAATTAGTGTTTTTGAGCTGAAAATTTGAGAAAAATTTGTAAAACTTCTTAGGCTAAAAATTAAGGATTTTCAAGGCTATTTGAGGTCGGATTTCAGTAATTCTTGTATGAGTGGACTCGTTATCGAATGGGTGTTCGAATTGTATAACTTTGGTTGGGTTCGACATGGATGTTCGGGTGGACTTTTTAAGTTGACTTTTTATTTCTTATTAAAGGTCATAATTTTATTGTTTGAATTAGTTTCCTATAGTTTATATTTATTGTATGAAGTTGTTTTGGTTAGATTCGAGCCGTTCAGAGTCGGATAATAGAGGGAAAGGCCTTCTAGTTGATTAAGTTAGCTCGATTTGAGGTAAGTGACTTGTCTAACCTTCTATGGGAAATACCCCTTAGGAGTTTATCGATTATGATAATTGTGGTATGTGAAAATCATGTACGCAAGGTGACGAGTGTGTACACGGGCTAAATATAGAAACTACCATTTTTAGCTATGTTGATTTCATTTCATGTCTTAATTGAGTTATCTTAACATGTTATAGTCATCCTTTCTAGTCTATTTCACATGTCTACTTGTCTTATCTCTTACTTGCTATTTGCTCTACATGTTTAGTTGAAGATCTTGTTCCTTTATTCCGTATTCATTATTTAATTGTTGAACTCTTTACTTGAAGTTGTCTTTCTTGGAAATATCTGATTGTTGAAATTGGTATCGAGTTACAACGGCCGAAATTTCTATTTAGGGAAAGTGTTGTGAAATATCATTTTATTGAGTTATTCACTTCCGGTTGTTATTGTTGAGGCTTTGTGTACATTGTGGTTGAGCGGTGGGCTCCTAATTGCGAATTCTGTTATTGTTTGGTTTCTACGGCTAGTTGTGATATTGGGCACTTGAGGTGCGATTTGTTATACATTGTGATATTGATATGCATGTGGTGGTATAAGGTCTTGGGGTTGAAACGTATGTGGTGAGATAAGGCGGGCTTGATACACGTGGCTAGTAGGGGAACTACTAGAAGACATGCGGTGTGATAAGGTGGGCTAAAACTCGAGATACTATTTCGGAAAAAATAATTTTCAAAACTAAATGTGAAGGCTCCCGCGGTGATATAAGGAAAGATTGTAACTTATTCTTGTGATTTGACACTATAAGGCGGTACCCCGGTAGTGACTCTTATTAGAATTTCTCTGTTATTGCACTTGTCTTTGGTTATTGTTTCCTTAGAATTTTTATTTGTTTTATCCGCATTGCACTAATTGCTTAGTTCGTGTAGTTAAATCTTGATATGATATTTGTTGTTTCAATTTCATTACTGTCATTATTACAGTACCTTACACTTGTTCAGTCTTCTTATTTATTTTCAGTAGGGACCTGACTTGATCTTGTCACTACTCTATCGAGGTTAGACTTGACACTTATTGGGTACTATTGTGGTGTACGCATGCTACTCTTCTACACATCTTTTTGTGCATATCTAGGTACTTCCTACCATCCTATGCATTAGCTAGGATTCTGCTACGGAGACTTCAAGGTATACCTGCCATCGTCCGCAGGCCTCAGAGTTCTCCTCCCTCTAGATATCATTATGCATTATCGTTTTAGATATAGACATTGATGTATCGGATTATCCAGTATTTCTACTTAAAGCTTGTGACTTGTATTTCATCGGGTCTCGGGAGTTGTATATGTTAATTTGCAGAGTTTGTTTTACATAGTTGCTGAGTTTGAGGCTTAACTATTAATTAAGTTATTCTGCATATTTGTTAGGCTTATCTAGTCTTAGACTAGGTGCCACCACGACATCCTACGGAGAAAAATTTGGGTCGTGACAATCTAACTCCTTATAAGTAGCTTATTTTTCTTTTCTACTTTTCATGCGGGACTTTGTTTACACACTCCAATAATCTCCCCCTTGATCTAAGTTTCACATGACCCATTACCGTGTATGGGCTAATTGGGTGATTAACTGTGTGTCACCCACATGATCCTGAGTATTTACGGTCACCAAAGCCCAAAGGATGTTTATGCGTCTTCAAAGCTACGAGTAAAGCCCGTAAACCCCGTACACGGGCAAAGGCAATAAGTCGGGCCCCCATGCCACAATTCCGCCATCTCCATAGTCCCCCCCAAACAATTGGCTCGGATACTAGTTGTTTGGCTAAAACAGTCCAAAGATATGTTTAACATAGTTTGATATTGTCCGCTTTGGGTCAAGCCCACACAATTTTTTCAACTCCTTATAAGTAACTTATTTTTCTTTTCTACTTTTCACGTAGGACTTTATTCACACACTCCAACAATATATACGGATGGGGTAAAGCTTGGACGAAAATAACCAAGTCTAAACAAAACTGAAAAAGGAGTTCTTGTCGGATAGAGGCTGCAGGCGTGCATTCTCTCTATCACCGCTGGTTTGGCCGCGTTGCTCGGCGCCTCGTGCATGTTATCACGCCTGTTCCTCAACTCTACTTTCAAGTACTCCTACATCCAAAAACACATAATTAAGCTCAAAGCATCGTACGAAATGCTCAATATAACACTAAATTGTATGGCACATAATACTATGAAACATGTAACTCTAGTCGGACATCAATACCACATGGATCAAAATTCAATTTATCAATATTTAAATGATGAGCAGTTAATGATAATTGTTCCTAAGTTTAAGAATGACAAACATTTTACTAGAAGAGTGTATACGGTGAAATCGGGGGGTCCAATTTTTCATTATCAAAGCACTTCGGAAGACCGTCTCGAAGTCCCGGGGTTACAAGGCTACGATCGAAATTCCTCCCTTGAGGTTTGTCGACACTCGGTCTTGTGATAATGTCAAACACAACCACTGCGGAAACGGGGAGTTCCCAAGGCACGTGGCTAGGACTGACAGAGCCTAAAAAGCTACTCTAAGATCCGAGTCCGGGTGTCATTTAGTGGTCACATCTCCATATCTTTGTAATTAATGCTTGTTGTACTATGATGGGATTTCCCTCCTATATAAAAAGGATCCTTATCACTTTGTAAGGGTTGGTCACTTCATTTGCTCCACACGAAATATACAAGAACTCTCTATTTCGCTCTCTAACATATTCTCTTGATATTATAGCTTTTATCCCCATATTTGTTCATCATTTATTGCTTATCATTGACCATAAAGAGCCATCTTTAATCGCCTCATAACTGTTAGCCCTACCTCGATTACCCGCAACAGCTCGTGGCCGAGCCCCGGGATCGACCTCGAGGTACCAAGTGACTGACCTATCGGTTTGGTTATAGCTCCCTCCTTAACTTTATTTTGTCTCTAAATCTCATATACTTAGCATCAACTGCTTAACAAACTTGCATAAAAATAAATTACATATTTTTAGAGTCTCATCAACAAATTTAATTGTTATTATTATTCCCCGGTAAACAAGGAGCATGTCAAAGTTTCGATGACATGTAGCTTTGCCATGCTGTCTGAATGATCCAGTCAAAAAGGATAAAAAAGAAAGCGATACACGACATTAAACTTGTTTCAATTAAGGAAGCAATCGACTACAGCCAAAACATGTAAATTAAAGTGGGGTAAGCATCAAATGCTTTTACTAATGCATTTGAACAAATATCAGTGGAACACACTAGAACAAGAGTCCAATAAACCAGTTATCCTCAAGTGGAAAAGGCAGCTAATTGAAGAACTAATTCCAATTTTTAGTACATGTATTCAATCCACAAGTATCTAGTACAAAATAGATAAAGCAATAGGAGCAAAAGAAAAGCCAGTGAACTAAAAAATGTAACATATTTATTAGGAACGTTACAACCAAAATTTAGTTGTTAAAATTGTCTCACCATAACCTTTAATTTTACCTACACCATTTACGCGACTTAAGACCTTAACCCTCCCCGGTCCCTTGCTCCCCTTCCCAAAGAAAAATACATAAAAGAAATAAAGAATCACTAATGAACAATCAAGCATAATTGTAGTCGATATGAATATCAAGAAAAACAAAATATGGAAAATTACATTAGAGGTTCTATTTCGTCAACTATTTATCATTATGAAGTCACCGTCACGCAAATCAGCGGCTCCTTTTCACCAAGTACTGGAGTTTCTAAACATCCTGTGCACGTGAGCACCTGTGCTCTCACGGCTTCGTAATCCCAGTTGGTGGTCCCTACCACATACAACATCAACCCAGCACAACATACCTGGGCTGAAAGTAATCCAATCCAAAGCCCAACAAAGCCCATTCCTATCCAGAAACCAAGCCCAATAGCCACTGGCATACCCACAAGATAGAATGCTCCAAGATTGACATGAGCGGCCGTTGACGGCCGGGCAGTCCCCCGAACAACGCCACACCCGACGGTTTGCGGGTAGTTTCCGAGCTCGCACAACCCCAAAATCGGCAATGCAGCCGATGTCAAACGTAAAATATTAACATCGGCTGTAAACATTTTAGCCCATATACTTCTCATTGATGTAGCAAAAAACACAGCTAATAAGCCCATCAGGCCGGCCAGACACATCGACACCAGGGCTGATACCCGAGCCCTATCGGGCCGATTAGCTCCTAGCTCATTACCAACCCGAGTGGACACCGCAAACCCGAGAGAAGAGGGGAACACATAGAGTAACGACGTCGTCTGAATCAACACACCCATGGATGCAACAGTAGCCTTAGGGTCCACAAGTAATCCACACAAAATTATCATAATCTCGTACCACCACCACTCTAGACATACCGAAACACAACTTGGCGCGGCTAACCGAATGAGTGGCTTCCACCCAGTCAGGCAGTCGAAGCTCGGGTTCCTCCAAGTCGGCTTGTGCAACCTGCTAATCCTGATATACAAAACAAGCGCCACGAGTGCCGCCGCATTTGATGTAGAAGAGGCAGCCGCAACGGCAGCCACACCAAGCCGAAGCCGAAAAGTGAACAAATAATAGATGGGAAAATGTAGAATGGTTCCGGCTAAGGAAGACAACGTGAGTGGATTTGTAATTCCTTGAGCACGAAGGTAAATGCGAATAGGGTGGAAAAAAGAATTAGTGATAAGATCAGGGAGTGAAAAAATAAGATAGGTATGAGCCAAACTTGTGACGCTGGTTTCTTGATGTAAATAAAGGAGAATGTTGGAAATGTTGAGCCAAAGGAACGTGATGGGCAAAGAACAACAGAGAAGGAAAATGACAGACCTTTGTAAAGTTAAGGAGAGAAGCTTAGGACGTTGAGCACCAAAAGCTTGAGAACAAAGAGGCTCCATTCCCAGAGCTAAACCAGAGAGCACAGAATAGCCTGTTATATTAGCAAATGCAATGGCTAAAGAGCCAGCGGCTAATTCAGTATCACCAAGATGGCCAAGAAAAAGCATTGAAAGAATGGAACGACAGTAAAGTATAAGGGCAGTGAGTGCTATAGGGAATGCTAGGTTGAAAAGAGCTCTGCTTTCATGGAGGATTTGTGATGGGGTTGGGAAAAAAGTGAAGTTGGCAGATTTTTCTTGGATCTGTTTCGGATTTTCTTGGGGTTCTAAGGTGGTTGGTAGTGATAGTAGATCGAGATACAAATTGGTTTCTTGTGATTTTTTATCAATCACAAGAGTATTTGGATTACACATAGTGATCCAAAAACCAAATACAAATAAATGGATTTGTGAGTTTTTCTTCGTTTCTAAGTTTTGATCTTGAGGAAGAGATACTCTCATGGAGAGCACTCTGCAATCGTAAGTATCTCCAACCGGATTGGTTTGGTTTGGTTTTAGGGGATGGAGAGATTGGACAAATATATACTACTCCATTAGTGAAGAAGTTAGAGGTGACATTTTTTTCTTTTTGTTTTATAATATATCTACAGCCTTTATATAGTGCTATAATTTTGAATTTCTTTTGTTCGTTTTTAGAATTATACAGTATTAAATTTCTTTGGGATTTACTTATTTGTATGTGGAGTGTCAGAGCTTATATTTCCGATATGTGTATTGAGTGTGGGTTATTTTTTTCTCTTTTACGAGAGAGATTATTGTTTCTGGTGAGTTCTCCTTTGATGACACTCCCAAAGTCCCCGGTCCAAGTAGTCCATGCATGGGGCACATTCATTTTAATGATTAAAAAGACCAAAATTAATTCAACCATGGTCTTGTTTTTCTTTTCCCCACAAGATTGTGATTAAGTTCCAATGACACATTGATATATACTTGACTCTTGAGTGCAACAAACTCTTTTTCCCAGCGGATTTTAATTTTGTGTTATCCAAGGCAATTTAAGGCCCTTTTAATTGCATTGTTGATCATAGAATTATAATTTAACTGTTAATCTAAAATAAATTAAAATCAAAATAACAAATAAAATTTAATTATGTTTCCTAATACACACTTATGTGACAGATTTATGTTTGTTATTTTAACTCTTCTGCGAATCCGGATCATTATTTCAAATTTATCAAGTGATTAAATTTCTTAATTACTTTTTTACTTAAGTAAATTTGGGACAGCTATTGACACGTTAAGAATCCATCTGGTTATATTTTAACTTTATTCAATCCTAGTGTAGCTTACATCTCAATCTATTGTGAGAACATACGTTCAACGTTTTAGGTAGAGACAAATTCATGATCTAACTAGATTCAGTATGGTCATATATATATATATATAATGCATATTTTGAACCGAATATAATGTGTTTTATTGAGCTCTAAAACTCGCTTTACGTTCACTATTTATTCCAAACGA